CATATTTATTCAACCCAAACCTGGTTGGTGTATCCATATACCCAACAATATGCTATAGTTTTGTAATTATAGCCTCATATAAGTAATTTTACATGTACACAGGCTGTCCTTAGATTATGATCAATTTGGTGACCATTTAAAGTTACAACAGTGCTGAAGGAATGGTAGTTATGACCGGTCGTCAAAGTTCCATTGCAATGGTCCTAGTTAGGTGATCAAAATTGGGCACTTAGCAGCTCACCTGCAATTATGACCATAGCATTTGCTTCAGCTCCCTTCCCATCTTTCCCCATCTCTGCCCTTCAGGCTGCCCTTTACTCTGCCATCTACTCCTGCCACCCCAGCTGACCTTTAACATCTTCCTCCCACTGCTGCCAAGGTGGGCCAAGTTATTTGTGATGTTCTCTATTGGCTTCTACCAAGCAAAATCAGTGGGGAAACCAGCAGGAAAGGTCACAGGGCATTCCTGCTGCTTTTTCTCCTGCCCACAGCATTCCCTGGACCCATGTGCAGCCTTCCCAAGATCTCCCATGCTCCTTTTTCTGGGACTTTCTGCTTGATGACCTGCAGAGACTGAGGTTATTGTAACCTGAGGACTATCTGTACAGCATTTTTCTCTCTCCCCTTTCCCTTCTGCTTGGCATTTTCCCTGTCTGTCAGAGCCAGCACTTCCAACTGAAAATGTTTGGAATTCTTATCAATTATAGCAAATCCTGGGAATTTGCTTCAAAGGTTCAGTTCCTGTCCAGTAAAGAATAGTACATCTTGCCACTATTGTTTGTCTAATATTCCTCATTTGTTGCCTAGTTGGATTCACTCTGGGCTGCTGCAAAAGAACTCAAAGCTTTGAAGACCCCAAAGGCTGATCTGATGCAGGTTCTGTCCAAGGCTGTAAACGTGAGTTTATTAGCATACATGCAATTCAAAGTTAATAACTTTTGCATAACGAGAGCAAAGATGAGGAACATGCAGTTTTCTTTCTATTTCTTTATTGGAGAAGTGCTTCTTCAAGGCATACGAACAGATATATGAGGCTAAGACTTTGGAGCCTTTTGGAAAGGGGATTCGGTCCAGGTTAGGCAAGGCGTGAATTGGCATTGTTTTCTGCCAGCTCTTAGAAAGGAACTGTTTAAAAAATTCTTCTTGCCTCCAGGTTTGTACTTTGATAATCACCTAAAATCCTCAAGCATTTAAAATCAATAATCAAAAGCTATAAGCACATTAAAGACTGTAGCAACAAAAAAGAAGTCTAAACTTCAAATGATGTCTGTGTTTACAAATAGAGATGTGAAATTTTGGGTATTATATCTGTATAAAGAACAAATTTATGTTGGTTTTTTTCTCCAGAAGGCAGAGGCTGCTGCTGAATCTACAAAGAATATGGAAGCTTCTGCAGGCAGAGCCAGTTATATCAGCTCAGCTCAGCTAGAACAGCCTGATCCTGGTGCTGTAGCAACTGCAGCCATTCTCCGGGCAGTGTTGGAAGGGTTGGAGGCTAAACCATAGTAACTTCGTGATATTCTTCCTTAATATAAACCTTAATTTTAATACTAGTTTAAATGTTCCATCGCTATTTTATCCCTGCTATGCAGGACTTACTAAATCCTGGTACTTTTGGCATGACAAGGTTTATTTTAACTTACAAAACTTTCCTGCACATCATTTGGCAGTGTTCTTGAAATGTAAGGCTTGAGAACCGAGTTGTGTTTATATATTTGGGTCTGTTTTCTTCATGCTTTTTGGATTTTGGCTGTTGCAGGGTCCTCTCTTCAAGTTGTTCAAGTTGTTTTTATGTGCTGCATTTCTTCACTGTATACAAGAGGTGTTTTAAGTTTTGCTGAAACTATGTAATAGTACATTCAAACAATATTGTAGCAATATAGCTTGAACAACTAAGTAAAATGTATGCAAAGATCTTCTAACTGTAGATACCAGGTGTATAAATATGCCAGAAACTTTATAAAATACTTCATAAACAATGACTAGGAGTCTAGATATTTTTTTAAAAAACAACAACTAGAACTGCTGAAATTGATACATTGACATATATATCTCTAAAGAGTGGTTGACCAAAGCAGATGCTGTTTTGCTCCTTGTCTGCTGATTTTGCATAGGGATGTCGCTGGCCACTGAGTGAAACAAGATTCTTGACTAGTTAAATTCATTTCCTGACGTACCCTGATTTAGGAGCACAGAAAGCCCCATCATTTCATACGGGCAATCATCACACTTGTTAAACTACTGCATATTTCTTTGCATGCAATACAGCTTATATAAATATGGAACACTTCAATCTAACTTATCTTGCATATACTATAAGAATGATGAGTTACTGCCAAGGCTAAAGGCAGATGAATATTGCTATATATTCATAGTTGAAATAATCTGCCTTTAGCCTTGGCAGTAACTCATCATTCTTATAGTTACAAGGATCCTCTTTGGGTACAAGAGATCATAAATCTAGATCAGGATTTTTGAACTGCTTACCTTCTGGGCAATATGCTTCAACTGTTATACAACCAATTAAAATGTACTCCGCTAGTAATGTTTAGCTAGTACTTAGATAACATTAAAGGAAGCTTGGCAACCAGACCTCTCTTTCGAGAGTTTCATAAATGGGATTATTTGCAAAGAGTTTTTCAAGATTGTCTGTCTATTTAGCTATACAAAGAATGCATTATAGTTTAGATTGAAAGAAATTATCAGGTATATTTATCTGATAGCCAAGGATCGATGTTTGTAAAGGTAATATGATCTGCCACAAACCCCAAAGTTATTTCATTCAAGTAACTGCAGGCACCATTTTAAAATATTTTGCTAATAATATGATCAAGAACTCATTCAATATAACCAGAATGAAAACTAGGTGCAAAATTATAATTAATTACCCGTATTTAAATTACCTGTATTTAAATTGGAAAAAAACTTAATGGTGTTAAGGAAATTTTTTGAAAGGAATGTAGAAGAATAAATATACGTAAGATTTTATTCATTGTCTGATTATTTCTAAATAAAACCTTTAAATTAACTTTGTTTCGAGACATTTTTCAGCTATTTTGGAGCCAAGCATCTTATTTTAAAATGTAAAAGCAAAAGGAAATATCCTTCTAAGATTTAGACAAGGTAAATAATGTACGACTTCTCATTCTAGACATAGCACAGATGCGGTGGAAATAAACTAAGCTCAGCATGTGAGAGACAGAGGGACTTAGAGCAGAGTTGAACATAGTAAACCAAGAATCATTAGTAAACTTGGTAATTCAAGAACTTTACTGAACCCATAGAACCTAGTTGATACGTATTATAACTTCTAAAAATAGGATTGCTAAACTTGCGAAAGTTATCTTTTTGAAGTATTCAGGATCATTTTAGGTAAGAGAACTCTTGAATGAAAGAAGCCAGTGAAACAGAAATAGGTAACACTATATGCTATAAACAGCTCAACAGAAATATTATTTTAATTTAATTATATATCAAGGGCCAGTCCTTGAAAGTGTTCAGTTCACATTGTTTGATTAAATTCAGGAATTTCTTGTTGATTATGGAGAACAGCATAATCTTTTATTAGCATTAGTAAAAACATGATTTAGCACGAATAAGAAGGGGCTCAATTTCCACATTAATAAGATAGAATATAGATATATTAGAAATAAGGAAGGCATCAAGGGCCCATTAATATTTTTTTCTAAATAAGATCTAATCCCATGATTTAGCCATATAAGGTGATATATCTTGTTAGACCAGACATGATCCAACGTAAAGTCTCACATTTAAACTCTAATGAAACATGGCTTAAAATAAGGTGATTAAATTATAGCTCTAAGAAAAAAGTAAAGTTAGCTATAGATTATTGTAATGTATCATGGTATTATTATTTAATAGCTGACCAGCTGTTGTAAGGCTGCTGTAAATGCTGATGCAATTAGGATGAAACAGCATGGTTATTTATTTTTTATTGTATTGCTGCCTATTCGCTATGGTGACTCGAGGCGGCTTACAGAATGCAAAACAATATTTAAAATAAAAAACAATAAAAACTAACAAAAAGAATCAAATAAATTAATAAAGTAAAATAGAACAAAATCTGGAAAAAAATAAATTAGAAATCACCACCAACTCCCATCCCCCATCCCGACAACAGCAGATCACATGAGCCATTTGATGGGCTCCATCCCATTCTGGGTTCCCCAGGCCCTCTGGCAGAACCAAGTCTCATTATTGCCACTTTAAGACTGAGGATGGGTCCCACAGGGTTTTTTTGTCTATATATACTGTATGAAGCCATGAGAGGGCATACCTCTCTCTCCTTGTGTTCTGTCTCCATTGTGGTTCTCCGTACACAGTAAAGAAGATTGATTGCTTACCAGTATTTGCCTACCACGTAAATGTATGTATATAGCTATCTTTTATATAAACCACCATTAAAAGACAAAGCCTCTGTGTGCTATGTTGTGCTCCTGGGTTGTCTCACAATAGTAGTCATGCTGCAAACACTCTGACAGGTTATGGGTCCAGTACAGAGAGAAGGTCAGAGTGACTGGAGAGACTAGAGAGAAGAGAAACCCAGTGGGAGCTTGCACCAGAGCCAGATGTGGTTTAATCATGGTTAGTGGCTTATGAAGGAAACCAGGCAACATGGCCTCCATCAGCGTAATGGGAGGTTTTTTGGTGTCTCGACTGAATGAGACAAACTATCTCTCCTGGAATGTGAACATGGAGATGTACCTGCGGAGGGAGGAGTTGTGGATGATTACCAATCTACCAGCAGTCTTGGATGATGGGGACCAGAGGAAAAATGAAAAGGCATTAGAAAGTATAATTCTGGTTTTCGAGGACAGTCAGCTGATACACGTGAGGGATCTCCAGTCTGCGAAAGAGTACTGGGAGGTAACAAGGTAGTTAGTTGCATCTCCATAGTGCATTACACCAGCAGTTTTCCAAGTATAGTCAGGGATCCACAAAGTCAAATATCTTAAAATTTATCAATTTTAATTTCTAACACAGTAAATATTAATTCCCTCAACACTGTTCAACTATTTACAAAATGTACACTACTATTACTGTTAATCTTCTCATCATTCCTTATCACCCATCCCCTCGCACTTGTGATCGTAGGACTGTAATTTTGTTGCTTGTATCCTTAGGATTTATATTGACTGTTTCCTAGTATGATTTGATTGTTGATTGTACCCTATGACTATCATTAAGTGTTGTATGTTATGATTCTTGATTCTTCACGAATGTACCTTTTCTTTACGTATACTGAGAGTATTTACACCAAGACAAATTCCCTGTGTGTCCAATTACACTTGGCCAATAAAGTATTCTATTCTATTCTAGATATAATCCATAGAAACCAAAGTTCTTCAGAATTTTCAATCATTTTTAACAAAATAAAGTGGTCCTGATACCAAAATGTTTAAGAACTACTGCACTGTGCCACATTTGGTTTGCTTATTTGTCCAATCATATGAATCCAGTCAACGTGTTTTGTAAACCAAGGGCTAAGATAGTATGGGAACCCAGTCATTTGTTTTGATAAACCAACATTATGCCTTTATGTGTTATATAAACACAACTTCTGTAGGTGAACTGGCAAAAGATTAGGCTGATGCATTAATGCACAAAATGAAAACTTTTCCCTTTCAATCAAGAAAAGGCCCTCTACTAGCTGGCTTCACTTACCATGTTAAACCAAAACTAACAAACTATGCTCTAAGATATGTGGAATACGAACAGATTTATATTAAAAAACACAGAAAATTATATCATATTCAATTAAAAAATAACGCAGCACTGAGATTACACATAAAGTATCTATTGTAGCATATCCTTTCACCCAAGTATCAGAAAAAGGCAGCTTTTCTTTAATTGATTATTTAGGATTTTAATTTCTAACACATTTTTCTAATGAAAAACACAAAAATCTGTGAACTTTATGGCATTTTAGCAAACAGATTCGTTCAAATGTGATTGAATGTCCAGCAATCGTTGATAGTATGAACATTTCAAGTTTAAAAATCAGACCCAGAGGAACAAATCTGGATGTCTGTTAGCAGAAAAATCTTTTCTTGCTGAATCAGTTCATGTGAGCTGCTGTACTCATGACGACAGGAGCAAGCAAGGATACAAATTTCAGTGAAGAAACCGTTACAGGTAGCACCACACAGCTGCTCTTTAATTCTTCATCTGGCTTCTGGTAACAGAGGCTGTATAGGACGCAAATCAGAAGTTGGATGCAATAAAACATTATTTTCCTATAGTGAAAGGGGATGTGCTTGCTCAAGTTATCTTTAAGATTTATATTCACATGTTAAATTCTGAGACTGTATTCCATGAAATCTAAGAAGTCATTTGTCTCATTTTAAAGAAAAATAGAGACACAGCCTGTATAATGTAAGTTCCTGTGCCCTAAGTCTTGAAAAATGTTGTGCCTAGGTATCAAGAAATGAGTGGCTTCAACTATGAGTGGTTGATAAGTGGTATTGTTGTTAAGTATTGCTAGGCTACAATTTCTGACAACTTCAACCAGTATGTATGGTGGAAAATAAATTCCTTATTTCAATGGTTAAATGTAGCTGTTTGCCATATATTAATTTACCTTTCAGTTTTCAAAATGACATTCGGTTTAATTGGCCCATTCCATTTAAACTGAAATTTTGCCTGAAAGCTATCTACATTGCAAATGTTTTGTTCCACCGGTTTAATGATTATTTGAAAGTTCAAGTTTTGGGACTAAATGTTCCAGGTTTGAGAATTAAATACTTTAGATTTAGACTCAATAAATGGTGACTAAATGTCATGGCAAGAGAAAGAGATTAATAGGTATAATTTTAACATTTTGTTTATGTATTAGCAGAATAAAATTAAGATTATGCAGTTATATCTTTAAAATCTTTAGATTGCCGGAACTAATATTTACTGGAGCAGCATTTACAAGTTGGTGATCCATAAGATAGGGATTGATCAATTAAATATTTAATTCTCACTTCATCAGATGTATGTCTTGTCTATGGAATTCTCTCCAGAAGAGTTTTCAAATCCTACCCAATTCTGTTATGTATTTCCTTTTGGGTGAAATTGGTTTTTTTTTTTGTTTCTTTGGGGTTTTGGAGTTTTTTTGTTGTTGTTGTTAAGATGGTGACAGCAGCTGGATGTGTTTGTGACATGATGCTCTGAAGTGTTTTGCAGAGAGAGTTTTGGAAAGTTTGGAATATAGAGATTGGTACGTAGAAGAGGTGGAGTGTTTAGAGAAAGGCAAAAGGGAGACAGGCATGATAAACTTACTGAGAAGCTGGAGATTTGTTGGAGAAACAGAGAGGTGGAGAAGCAGAAAGGCCGAGAGTTGAAGAGCGGAGAGATCAGAAAAGGGCAACTGGAAGGTGAGAGGGAGGAGAGGAGGTGAGTGATTTATGACTGTCTGGCTTCCCTGGACTTCCCCTTGATTCTCCTGGACTTCCCCTAGATTCCCGTGGATATCTTTGAATTGTCTTCTATGTGCAGTAATCAGCTGGAGCTCAACCCTGGTCTGAGAGCCCAAGAGTTGGCAGCTGCAGCTCTGAATGATGGCATGGATCTTATGATGGAGGCAGAGCTGACAGAAGAAAGAAGCTTCCCTGGCCTTTGTCAGCAGCCAGGCCTACTCATGTGGTCACTAATGCTGTGGAGTGTGGCAGGCTGCCTTTGGGATTTATTGAGGTTTAACTGGCAAATGGGAACTTGGAACTGTATGAACCCCAGGAGACATCGTACTACACATCTACAATATTTAATGCAGCATAGCAGGTTTTCTGGCCATTCCTCGGACTACTTTTGGCAATATTCTGAATGTTCTGTATCAGGCCTGGGAAGGCTGTTCGTGGAATCCTGGGGCTGGAAGGGAAAGTTGGGTGAGAGGCAAGTGTGTTGGTCCCTTTCCCCTGGGTGAAAGCTGGGAGAGGAGTGGCTCCCTGCTTGATGGGTGAGAGCAACTGGGCAGGGTGCTGCCTTGGGGAACCCAGAGCAGGATGGAGCCCATTTTATGACTCGTGTGATGTGCTGTTACCAGGGTGGGAGGGATTACACTATTATATTAATTTATTATTTGATTATTCTCTTTTTATTAGTTTTATTTTTTATATATGAGATTTTTATATTCCTGTAAGCCGCCTTTGAGTCGCCATGTGTGAATAGGCGGCAATCTAAATTTCCTAAATAAATAAATAGAAAGTACGGAGTATTCACTTTAAGGCCTAATGTGGTTTAAAGGTTGAAGCAGATTGAGAAAACACCTCTTTCTATTTGATTCCCAACACCACCCCCATTCAGCTGAGGTTGTCTGAGAATGTTTGCCTCACTTTGTCACATGGGTGACCTGGAGCCCAAGTTCTTTGGAATGTGCTCGCATCTGAGTTTTGGTATAAGTTGTGTGTGTGTGTGTTCTGTTTACACAGTATTCAAAAATACTTTTCAAAGCACATTAAAGAACCATGTTCATTTTTTATAATTCATCGTAGCATAATTCCTCACCTGTCTAATGCCTTGTGAATTCACATCGGAACGTTTCCATCCTGGTATGGCAAGACCCAACAACACTAACACTCCAAACACCAAAATCAGCATTCCCAGAAAGTTGGCAAACCAAGCCTCTACAGGAAGCTGGGAATATGGTGTTGTTGAATTTTTTCTAAGAAGACAGTCAAACAAAATATTGGATGAAATAGGCCGTGGATTCTTCTGTATAATCATCTGGGGCTTTATCTACCAGCTTTTTTGCTCTTGCAGGCTTCCAAATATTTACTATTGTTGTCATAATACAAAACCTCGGCATTCTTATGGTATCCGTTCCCAGCAGATCTCCATACATTAGTTCCACATTTTTACTTGCTATGTTGGAAAAACTGAATATACAAAGGCTGGAAATATATCTATACCAGCTTTCCGGATCCCTGAGTCACCAGGAGGTGTTAAACCTCCTTTTCTGCAACTTCTAAATATGGAAGGTGCAAAACTGGAGGAAACTGATGTTTCAAGAAAAATGCTTGCCACAGGGAACTCATTCCTAAAGGCATCCCTGTAGCTGGATTCTGGGTGCCTGGTGAGGCTTTAGGAACACTCCCCTTCATATTTAGAAGTATTTTGGTTACTGCCAAAATCCATAACAATTTCAGTCCAGATCAGCTTGAGTTTTCTTTCCTTTTTTCTAGATTGAAATTAATAAGCCAAATTAACTTGTCACCTCAGAGATTACTTGTTTCCTCAGAATCAAAAGACAAAACACAAAGACCCATTTCACCATGTCCTGATCAACCCATAACCAAATTCCATTACTCACAATCTCATGAATAACTTCTCATTAATGCCTGAGATGCAGGATGCAGTAGACAAGCCAAGGATGACAGAACCAAAGAAAACATGGACAGGTTTGTAGAGGGCTCGGAACCAGATGGGTGTCCAAGGCAACAGAAAAGAAGCAAATCCCATTAACCACTGGAAAGAAGAGACATGAATTAGAAATCTTACATTATAGTACCTGGATTGTACCTGAGCCTATACAAATTTACTTCTACATAGTTAGTAATGCCACTGTGATAACATAGTGATCAGAAGTTCTTTTTTCCTCTCATCTAATTTTAAAAAAAAGATCTTCAAGCACACATGGACACAACATTTGAGAAAATATGATTATTGTATATGATTCCATCTCTCACAATACAGTAAGTGTTCAGCAGGCAACACATTACATGTTTCTTTGGGTAACACATGTTTCATATACATAATTCTTTGGTTTAATCTCAAAAGAAATGGCCAATAGGAGAAAACTAATCTCTCTGTTTATAGAATTAATTACTGGTGACAAGAAATTGAGGACGCACAAGATATGTAAAAGTACCATCAAACCTTTATTTCTGAAAAAGCTTAGCACTGTTTGATTGCATATTAAAATAAACTATTCACACCTCCACCTAATTGGCTTTCTCCCAGAGTCCTAGAAGCTGTCTTATATTAAACCAGAGCATTGATTTTTCTAACCCACCACTATTATCTACATTGACTAGTAATAAGTCTCCACAGTTTGAAGCAGGATTTCTTAATCCTTTCTGAAAATCAACTTTTGGAGGCAGGATATAATAAAAATAAAAGGTTGGAAGTTTCTGTAAATATTATTGATCTTGTTTGTTTGCAGCCTTTCATCTCCTCTCTTGGAAATTAGTGGGATATGTATATTTTTGACATAAATCAATCCATTGATATACTCTTACCTACCTGGCATGAAAAAAGTAGTACAGCAGTGAGCCCAAGCCAGCTGTGTAGAGAGTACATGTTGGGGATCTTCTTCACATTGTGAAACTTGAAAACTGCCTCCAATCCCAAAATGGCAGAGATGAATGCTATCAAAGTAAGTGTTGCATGCAGCACCTTCCAAGGGAGCTTAGAACCCATTTGGGAAAAGGGCAAACGGTACACCAGTGCTGCTGCAGGGGAAAAGGGGAAAGCCATCAGAGCCAGGTGAATCGATCTAGCACTGTCGCCACTTAAACACCAAAAGGAGAGGAAAAGGACGGAGAATTTTTTTTTTTCACTTACCTATACCATATAAGATCACCATGCCTGTCACCATGAGAACTGGGTGCCAATTAAACATCTTACGAGAACCATCCCAGGCAAAGCCGCCAAACCAGTGCTGACTCCAATATACTGTAAGCCCCAAACACAAGATGCTCAGATTTCCCACAAGGATTGAATATGGTAAGAATGGAATTGTAGGCATCTCAATGCTACTTGGATGAACACCTGAGAAAATAAAGCAAGATACCAGAAACTGAACAAACAGTTCAGGTTATTGATAAGAAATTAAATTCCAAATCTCTTCTGCCAGCTTTCGATTCTTCTTAGTCAATGTTGCCTTCACCCAACTCCAAATGTCATTGCTTTCCGCTGTACAGCACATGCACTTCAATTTTACTATTTTTATCATTATCACCCAAGGGGGAGGGGCTAGAGGGAATGGGCTAGAGAATATAGTTTAATGTATTTACCCATTAAAATTCATTGTTCAGAGAACAAAGTCTCTACTATCTCTGGGCTGATTCTACCTAGGTGGCAATATGTACAAAGCTCAATTGCTACCATCAGTTTAATTAATGGGATTATCGTATTTTTTAAGTCCAGAAATGCTATGTACTCATATCACTAAATATCGTTTCTAGGGGAACTGGTGGTTTTCTAAGGTTTATTTTACAAAGGAGGGTGGGTGGAAGCCCTCTACAGATATTGCACCTGCAACCTCTGCTTCTTGAGAAAGGCAGCAGTCATGACTTCACTTCTGCTTTTCAAGCAGAAGTTGAGGCTGAATTAAATAGCAGAAAATGTCCATTAATAGTTCATGACGATGACCGAAACTTCACTCCTTACAACACACAAGTACCTTTATAGATGGAAAAAGAAAATGGATGTGCTTGGTCTTTTTGAATATTTTCTTTAAACCTAGTACTTTCTCCAAATTGCCAGGCAACTGTTCAATACTTTTTCTAAAAATGGAGATTTGTATTGAAATTTGTATTTATAATGTTTGTGGTATCTATACATATATGCATACAACCAAATATCTTAGCATCTGCATCAAAGTCAGGGAGTGTAACACTGAAAGCCTTAATCAGAATAAAAGCTAATTTATGTTTGCTTTGTATGTCAATGAATTTAGGTAGCAAAATTCTAGTGCAGCCAAATTAATCTGGCTCAGCTCCTGCACACATTCTAGTTTATGTTTATTGCCTCTTTTTTCCTGATAGAATTGTAGATTAATTGAATTGGAAGGAACCACAATAACCCTATAGCCCGGCCCACTGCAAAACGCAAAAACACAAACCAAACATGAGAAATGGTGGTGCAGCTTTTTGGGGAGAGAAAAAACCCCCAGAGTTGAGACTCTGAAACCATCATATGCTTCAGTGCTGTATAGATTTTCTGTCAATAATTTTTTCCTGGTTTTTTTTTAAATAAAATCTAAGCAGCTGCAACTCAATTAATTACTTCTGGTTCTAGTTTCTCAGCCATAGAAGACTCGTCAACCATATTCTGAATAAAATCTTTTTATATACCTGTGGAGGGCATAGAGAATGGTCTTGAAAAAGAAGAAAAAAATGGCTACCTAGTCAATGGTCAAATAAGAGGGGCTTGAGCTGGACCAAGAAAATAATGTGAATAAACATCTCACGTGGGCCCCTCACTAGTTCATCCAAAGATAAAGTGAGGAAGAGGAGAAGCACATTCAGACTCTCAAGATTCTGTTACTAAAACTGCTACAATAAAAGTACTGATGACCGATATGGCATCGATTTCTCAGCCTGGTCTACCTTGTAGGACTGACAGTACCTAAAAACGCTTTTTAAAAAATATTCCTTCTATCTTCTCTTTATTTGACAGTCTTTCAACAGATATTTGGGGAGTTGAAACCTCCCTCCCCAAAACCCTTTCATGGTTTTCTAAGGTTTTGATTATTTGCTAATAACCAATAAATCTTTATTTCAATGTATATGGTCACCCATCTCAACAAAGCAAATACATAGTGGTGGTACAGTGGTTAGAATGCAGTACTGCTGGACTAATTCACTGCTCACTCCAGGAGTTTGATTCTGGCAGGTTCCAGGTTGACTCGGCCTTCCATCCTTCCGAGGTCGGTAAAATGAGGACACAGATTGTTGGGGGCAATAGGCTGACTCTGTAAACCACTTAGAGACGGCTGTAAAGCAGTGTGAAATGGTGTATAAGTCTAAGTGGTATTGCTATTGCTATACATAACGGGAGTCAAAGTCGATTGTGTCATGTGACATCACATGATGTATAACTTTTTTGCCTTTGCAGAACCTGGGTGGGTGTGTCCTGTGTGTGGTATCTTAGCTAGCTGCCCATTTCTCTTATGCTGGATTTGATTATTTGGGGATTGTTCCCAGATATATTTCTATTTTACACAGAAAGAAATGGTGGGAAAGAAATTATCAACAATTCATTTGTTTATGTTCTTTCATGAATGTGAAACTATGTTCAATTGTTGTCCACATTATATTTAAATTCCTAGATTCAGATACTACGTCTGTTTCCTGGTCAAAACCTGTCAGGATGTCTGTGACAAGACAGAAAAGACAGAGGGTAGTACCCCAAGAGTGTTCTAAGGAAGAAGAACCTGATCCAGCAAAAGGTACAGTCTGAAACATCAGTTATAGCTACAATGGAATTTCTGCTTTATTGGGTTCATGTCATCAACTGAGACTGATCGAGGCCAAAAACAGCTTCAGGTTTGTCAGTGTTCTGCAAGTTGCAGCCTTTTTACGAGAAGCTGATTAAGATAAGGAAAACACCCTTTCAGAAATTATGCCAAAGCAAGCAAATTTATCCTTCCCATTAAAGAATAAGGTTTGAAATTGGGTTTGGGATTTTGGTGTGTGGTTGTTACATAGTCATTTACTAAATTGTACAGTTTTTGTTTTATTTAATATATAGATTAAGAGTTATTAAAAATATTTATTTCTTGCCTAACTCTACATCCAATGAAATAGTTTTTTTATATGGGGCAGTCACAGATTCATTTTATCATTTTAGGTCGCTACAATATCTCAAACTTGAGAATTATCATAGAACAAACATGAAGAATATTCAGATTGCTTCATTTGAAACCCAAGAATTTTTCAGTGAATTATCACAAACGTTCTACTTTTTCATCATTCATCAAGTAAACAGCTTATAAGTCATCCAGTACAGACTTAAATTTCTTTTACTTCCTGATAAAGTGATTGGTTTGGTTAAGTGATCTGTGTAATTTAATTTTATGTTTTTATACATATATTCACAAGAAACAGAGATGAATAGCAATATTGGTACTTCCGTAAGACAGTTTGTGAAACTTCACCATTATTGTAACAAAATAAGTAATAGTTTCCATTCCTTGTAGTGCCATCTTCTCCTCACATGAGATTGATTCTGGAGTGCATGTGCTCTAAAATGCTTAGCCTAAAGGAACAACTCAATGATCTTGACCGTGCCGCAGGTGATGGAAATTGTGGCAACACACATGCACAGGCTGCCATTGGTTAGTTCTCGTATCATACTCTTAAGCCTTGGAGTCAACTTATATCACCTGGCGACCTTGGACTTCTTTAAAAATCCAGTGTTGAATTCAGATACAGATACAGATAATCAAAGTTGGAAGGGACCTTGTAGGTCATCTAGTCCAATCCCCCGCCCAAGCGGAAGACCCTACACCATTTCTGACAAATGGCAGTCCAATCTCTTCTTGAAAGTCTCAAGTGATGGCGCTCCCACAACTTCTGAGGGCAAGTTGTTCCATTGGTTGATTGTTCTCACTGTCAGAAAGTTTCTCCTTGTTTCCAGGTTAAATCTCTCCTTGTTCAGTTTCCATCCATTATTCCTTGTCTGGTCTACAGGAGCTTGAGAAAATGGCTTGACCTCTTCCTCCCTGTGGCAGCCCCTCAAATATTGGAAGACCGCTATGTCTCCCCTGGTCCTTCTCTTTACTAGATTAGCCAAGCCCAGTTCCTGCAACCGTTCGTTGAATGTTTTAGCCTCCAGTCCCCTAATCATCCTGGTTGCTCTTCTGTGTACTTTTTCTAGAGTATCAACATCTTTTTTATATTGTGGTGACCAAAACTGGATGCAGTACTCTAGGTGTGGTCTTACTAAAGCTTTATAGAGTGGTATTAGTACCCTTGAACTTGACTGTATCCCTCTGTTAATACAACTTAGGATTGCATTAGCTTTTTTGGCAGTGGCTGCACACTGCTGGCTCATATTTAGCTGGTTGTCCACTAAGACTCCAAGATCCCTCTCACAGTTACTGCTATTGAGCCTGGCTTCACCCAGTCTATATGTGTACTTTTGGTTTTTCTTGCCAAAGTGTAGGACTTTACTTTTCTCTATATTCAATTTCATTTTATTAGATACAGCCCAGTGTTCTAGTCTGTCAAGATCCATCTGGATCTTGAGCCTATCTTCTTGGGTGTTAGCTATTCCTGCCAGCTTAGTATCACCTGCAAATTTGGTAAGTTCCCCTTCTACTCCCTCATCTAAGTTGTTAATGAAGATGTTGAAGAGTACTGGGCCTAAGATGGAACCTTGTGGCACCCCACTGCTTACTTCCCTCCATGTAGACTTAGACCCACTAAGGACTACTCGTTGAGTATGGTTTGCCAGCCAGTTGCAAATCCATCTAGTGGTGGTGCTATCTATTCCACTTTTTTTCTAGCTAAGAAGTAGGTTGTGGTCTACTCTATTGAATGCCTTGCTGAAATCTAAATATATTATGTCCACAGTATTTTGCTGGTCTACTAATTTAGTCACTGTGTTGAAGAATGAAATAAGATTGGTTTTGCATGATCTGTTTTTAACAAACCCGTGCTGACTGCTAGTTTTTACTTTACTTGTTTCTAGATGTTGGCAGATCTGTTTTTTTATTATCTTTTCCAGTATATTCCCCGGTATTGATGTTAGGCTGATTGGTCTATAGTTTCCTGGGTCTGTTTTTTTTCCTTTTTTGAAGATGGGAACCATATCAGCTCTTTTCCAGTCCTCTGGTAGTTCCCCGGTGCTCCAGGATTTTTGAAAGATATGGTGCAGTGGTTCTGAGATGACCTCTGCCAGCTCCTTTAAAACTCTGGGATGTAATCCATCAGGCCCCAGTGATTTGTTGTCATCAAGATCAGACACGTATTCTCTTACTATTTTTTTTTTGCTTATTTTAACTTTTATTTCTGGTCTGCCTTTTACAGTTATGTTTTTGGTGGGTTGAGCTATAGTTTCTTTTTGTGTGAAGACAGATGCAAAGAACGAGTTAAGCAGTTCTGCTTTCTCTCTGTTGCCTGTTACTTCCTTGCCATCTTCTCTCTTTAGCGGACCGACTGTTTCCTTGATTTTTTTCTTGTTATTTATATGTTCCACTGAGCTCTTTTGTAAAATTTGGCTCATTTTTAGTTAGAGCAATGAAAGCCTGAAATACCCTAACCATAGCTAAGGCTACAGAGGCAGCTATATTTTAGGTTGTGAAGCATGAACAAATTTTGGCTTTT